ACCAGAGAGAGGGAGAGGGAGAAAGAAAAGGCAAAAAAAAAGTTGTGTAAATTTTTAGAAATAATTAACTTCTTTGGCATAAACCAATGATATATGGATATAGAAAAGACATTTGGTACAGAAATCTTTGTTCATTATATCCGCACTTTCTAAAGGACCTTTGGGTATATTGTTATACTGGTCCATCCGTCTTGCACACTATCTTCTTCCTTAAACTTCTTTTATATTTTACACATTAGCCAATGAATCTTTTCAAACATGCCCCTATCCTTACTCCTCACCAAAATATTAAGTGCTGTGAAGGAGAAACTTCAGACGTCTTGTGCTACAACATATTCAAGAAGTGGTGTAAATCGAAACTTTTGATTCTAAATAAACTCCAAGGAACTTTTAGAAAATTTAAAATCTCCAAATTTTTCAAATATCAATAGCATAAAAATATTACTTATCTACGCTCTATACAACCATTCCTGTCGATAAATTATAAAAGTCCGGACAACTGCTTCCTCAATAAAAACGAAACTTGCAAATTTTCATATCTTGTGATTGATCATCTACAAATAACCTTGTGTTAATTATTCTGATTCTACATACAGGTACTCTGAAATTGATAGTAAAAGGAAGCAGGGGTTCCTCAGTGACAATATATATACTAATCTGTGGAGACCAGGTCTTTCACCATTCTGTTGAAATTGCGATGGGCACTAATTATGCTCCTATATTAGCCGACCTGATTTTTATATTTCTATGAAGCAGAATTTATTCAAAAACTTCTTCATGAGAAAAAGAATACTCTTCCTGTGGCCTTCAATTCGACAATTTGATATATATCACGACGTTTTATCAGTATAAAATAGTTACTTTCATTCATGTCGACTCGATATATACCAGTTAACTCCAAATAAAAGACATAAATTGATTAAAGCCTGCCACATCCGTTTCCTATCTGGATGTTTTATTGACTATATATGGTCAACTAATAATCAAACTGTATGACAAACGGATGACTACAATTTTTCACTTCCCTTATTTATGTAGCAATATTCTAACATCACCTGCATAATTGTGGTGTTTATGTCTCCAAACTGACCCGATAAGCAAGAGTATGCTCTGAATAAAATTAAATTTTAAACCATTGCAAGCTACTGACAAATAAGTTGATGTTACAAGGATATCAAACAATCCCATTTAAAGTCAGCTTTGTGCAAATTCTATGGTCGTTAAAATGTCCTTGTTTGTGAAAGCAATTTTTTGTTGGGTCGTATTTTGTCTGACATGCTCCATTTGTTAGTTCATTGCTTTTATACTAAAGAAGAAGGTACGGTTTTGGCTTTATTGTGCCCTAAAAATTAAATTTTTCAAAAAGTTTTGAAATTGGCATAAATATGAGTTGAGTATATGAGTGTGATAATTCATGAAAGAATATGGCATGAAGGAGGACCATTCTGGAAATAAGACGTCATGAATTCCATATTTCTCTAAATTTTAAGCAGAAAAAGCCTCAAAATGACTCATTTCAGGGGTTAATATCCTTGAGAAAATAGCGTCCACAGCCGTCGTCCACTTTAATAATCGGATATGTTATGTAAAATTCTTTGAAAAATCACATTTCTCAAAATCTTTGTGGGGGATGCACGTGGACTATCTTATCTGAAAGAAAATTTCACTGAAAATTGATGTCTTCTGCAACTTTTTCAAGAAAATACGGGAAAATGCACGTTTATGACGTCATAATAAGCATTTAGGAAGTCAATTGAACAAAAACGATTTGTTTGATCTTAGTGCATGGAGTTTCAACATTTCAGAAAGCATGAATTTTAATTTTTTTCATCACTTTCATATTTTAGAAAAATACAGGGCCAGATTTGAAATGAAACTGTACCTTTTTCTTTGACTACGGGATGTTCCGTCGTTCCCGATCAAAACACAGATGGGTGAAACCTGTCGACAGGGGATGCTTACTCCTCTTAGGCAGCTGATCCCACCTCTGGTATTTCTAGGGGTCCGTATATTTACCCTGTTCACGATTCGTTTTGTTACCTTGATTATAAGATTGATCACTGTTCGTTATATTCACCTTTTACATTTGAAGTATTTGGTGGTCAGATCTGTATAAGTGGACTGAAGTTTTGAAATTGTCATTTTTACCCTAGGGTCCAAAATGGGGTCGAAAAACATTTTTCCTAGAAAATCTGTTCCCATAACTCCTACCATATTTTTACTCAGTACATCTTATGATTGGTGGTGTCCTGTAGATTTGCAATAGTGTTGAATTTTTTTTTTAAAATTTTTACTCTGAGGGTCATGCAATTTGGCCGGTTGGAAAGACGACGATTTTCTACAAAAGCCGAGTTCCCAGAACCCAGAACTTGACTGGTAATCAAACATCTTTTGAAATGTGATTGGTGATGTCCTGTACATGTTTAATATGGTTTCAGAATTTTCAAATTCACCCTAAAGGCCATTTGGGAGTCAAAAAACGAGTTTTTTTTTCATTTTTTGTTGGCTTTTTCATATTTGACATGTAACGAAATATGCGTGGTACAAAAATAGTAATGTTTCATACAAAAGACTTAATATTTCACAAAAATTATGATACGTGCAATTAGTAGACCTGTTGTGTATTCTTATGAAGCAGAATCTATTCAAAAACTACTGCAAGAAAACAAGTATCTTCTTGTGGCCTTCAATTCTACGATTTAGATATATGACGATATTTCATCAATTAAAAATATTCATTTTCATCCTTATATATCCCACTGAACTTGAAATAAAAGACACCACATCTGTATCATATTTAGATGTTTTAAGACAGAGAATCATTGATGGCAAACTAACAACTAAACTTTATGATTTACTGTGATATGACTTCAACTTTTCTATCGTCAACTTCCCTTAATTCTGTAGCAATAAACAATTATCACCTGCATATAATGTTTATGTCTCCGGTTGATTTGATACGCAAGACCATGTTCTACATACAAACAACTTCTCAGCCGAGGAAGGCTACTGACAAATAAGTTGTTCATACGAGGATACCAGCAATCTCGTCAACAGTTTGCATATTATATGGTATACAATGACCTTGTTTGCCAGGTCTAATATGCTGACTGACATTTTGAAACAAATTGTTTAGCCATTATTTTCATACTGAATCATCTTCGGGTTTCTCCGTTTACCCGATCATGACAATATATGAACCTGACGGCGGATGTGACCAATTGATAGGGGATGCTTACTCCTTAATGGCACCTTATCTTATCTCTGATATTTTCAAGGGTTTGTGTTTGCCCTGCTCTCAATCTGTATTGCTTAATTGGACCTCTGCGTGAGTGTAATAACTGTTCATTATCAATTTCACATGAAATTCTCATTAGGTCTTTTTTCGGGCTGTAGCGAGCGTCGTCGTTTCATACTTCCGGTGGTAATGAAATACGAAATTCTCTTCTACATATGTTGCTCTATCCTTAATAAAAAAAAATAATTAAAAAAAAAACATCTTCCCAACCCCTCTTACATTTGACGCAATAGCCAGATCATGTCGACGTGCAATAAGATTTTGGAACTGTCATTTTCACCCTGAGATGCAATTGGGGTCCGAAAATTTACAAAACCTTCTATCCAAAAACCCTTTTTAAAAAAAATTTAAACTTCATAAAATTCTTTAATTTCAGACTAGTAATGAACATAGAAGAAATACTTATTTAAAACGTCCCTGGACCACATGCTCACCAATTTGAAATAATCGAATAACTAATGAAACATGAAGATATAATGAACAGTAACCAAGCTCAAAAGTCCATTGCATGGAACAATACAATACATATTGTGAGCACCTCTAAAACATCAGAGGTAGAATCAGGTGCCATGGAGGAGTAAGCATCTCCTGTCGATCGGTCAGACCCGCTGTGTGCTCCTTAAAGCTTGTCATCATCGGGCAAACGGAAAAATATGCAGACAATTCAATGTCAAAATAATGCCCTATATAACAATTTGTATGAAAAAAATCAGTTAACATTCGACTTAATGATAAATTGTTTTTTCAAACAAGGTCATTGTATTGACCATAGAATTTGCGAAATGTTAACGTTAATGAGACTGTTGATATGCTTGTAATGTGGCTTTTTCACTAGTTACCCTGGTACAAAGGAAGAGTACATTTTAGAGGATAAGCTTAGGTGCAGATAGTACCGTCTTATTATGGCATCAAGTTACATGTACAGTTATGCAAATATTTCGTCTGTTTAATGTCCAGGAGTAAAGAGAAATGTTTTTCAAGATATAAATCGTGTTCAGTATAATATTTAGCCCAATTCTGGGTCTGAAGGGAATGAAAAACAATTTTTGTAGAGCTTCAATCATACACACACAGTTTGTCTTCTAAAATTTTAGGAGTATAGATTTTGAAATAATGCTTTAGTGTTGGAGGTTTTGTCCCCATACAACAGGGCAAAAAGGGGGAGGGTATTTTAAAGCAATATGAGCTGCATTTTTGAGAATTTTATTTTGCTGTTAAAATGTGTTATTATGGTAAAATTGTATGTAATTTAAACCTTTTTGATCAGTTAGACAGCAATAAATTAAAGTATCAAATTGTTTCAGAATAAACGATTCTGTACATTGAAATATATAGCATTATATAAGAAATCAATATTGTACAGGATGACAATAATGTAATTTTGATTCAATCAAAGCTTATAAATAGTTCTTCCATCGTAAATATAAACAACAGAAGTTTATAAATGTTCTTTTTTCTGTCATTGAAATAGTTAATTACAATTTTGTAACAAAAATTTTTGACATCAAAGTTGCAGCTCATATTGCTTTAATGAAATTCATCAAAAATTTTCCTTCTTCATCTATAGAAGCTATGTAACAAATATTATTATATCTGGTTCAGAAGTTTCATAAAAGCTGAAAATGTTCAAATTTACTCATGACACAATGGACAAAAATTGGATAGTGTCCCAGAACATCTTAAAAATAAGCCAGTCTTAAACTTGCTTTCTATTACGTACCACTTTATTTTTTTCTGTATATAAGCAAAAGATTACACCAACAGTATACAAAATATGCCTTTCATCAAGTTTGCAAATTGTACTTGAATTTATTTCCAAGTAATGGATCCTTCATTTTCAAAGGCCAAAAGTATAATGCATAAAATTCTGTGAACAAAAGGTGATACAAAACTAACAAAACAAAGTAATTTAAACAACCCAGTATTAATGCAGAAAAGCAGAATGAGCATTTGAAAAATTTAACGGGAACTTGTAAAATCCTGAAATATTATGATAAAATTCTAACCTAATATGAATATTGTCAATTTACAAATAAAAAATAAGATTAATATTAACAACCAAACAGCACAGGAGACGAGGAATAAATCTTAGAATTGTGCCACATTTCTGGGAAAACAGAAAAAGGTTCCAAATTATACCTATATACATGTCTGATTTATTATCCCTTTTGTTATATACATGTAAGAATGTGAATCATTCCTACATGAATTAGAAATTAAAGTTATATATTAAGTTTTATCTGCTTATTTTCCCTACTCATTAGAAATCAACACACCAATTCAAGTAAGATTTTTATCCCATTATGCAAACTGAAAAGAAATCTGATAATAGACATATATGTACTAACTATAATATATCTTTGTAGATAATTTTAATTGCACATTTTTCTAGCATAAAAAGGACTGCCACAACATGAAGGTATCACAACAATGAAAAGACATCTAATTTACACTTAATTAAATGCATTGCACTAGAAGTCTCAGTAAACTACTGCTATAGAAACAATTTTACATTGAAAAATCTTCATATGGATATATTCTAAGATTTGTAGAAGAAAATTTTAAATAAATCTATAGGGTGTACATAAACAAGTACATGAACATGTTTCCTACTAACAAATTTAGATATGAGTATTGAATGCAGGTGTGAAGAAAACAGAAAAAATGTCTATAAAATTATCTGTAGGTCTGAATGTGCATGTAAGGGATATAATCTTGTACAACCTCCTTTAACTCAAAATTTTATTTTCACTGCTCCTAATTACACATCAGTAATAATGAATTCTTACTTCTGCCAACAGTATTCATGGCAGAAAAAATATCAGACTCCAAATCACTTTTGCAAACTAAATGAAAACTACAAATATGTAGTTCAAAATATATAGATTACTCCTGATATAAATATTTCTCTCTGGACATTAAGAAAAAAAAATATACAGATAATTCCTTGTAAAGAATAAACAGAGAAAACTAGCTATTTCAAAGACTCCAATTTTATTTCCATAAAAAAGAGTATTCACTTTTCAAAAATGCCTTCACTTTATATTCATTTGATTCAATTTCTTTTATGAAAGAAAAACTAATAATAAAGAGATGAGTTCCATTTTAAGTCATCCAACATTTAAAGTGAGTATTTATCTATATTCTCTAACAATAAAATAAAAGAACGATAAAAATGAATCCAATCTCAACCAGCTAAAAAGGTAATGAATACAAAGAATGCTATGCACAGATTTGAAAAGCACCAAATACAGTCTACAATAAAAGTAGTAAATCTCCAGTTAATCAGTACACATTTATACTGATAGTTAGGTCTGAAAACCACTCACCACAGGCCCACCATTACCAGTATTAAAACAGAGAAATAGCAATAAAGTGATTTTTTTTGTGTACAGTGAATTTGAATCTTTTATAATTTGGGTGCACTACGATCATTTGTAACAGCTTTCTTCAAGCCCCCTTTAGAGAAGTTGGTGATGGATCCTAAGAGAGCTGCTCTTCCTTCCTGAGTTGGTGCAGGTGTTGACTTTCCTGGAGCAGGTGGTGCTGGAGGAGGGGGAGCTCCTGGAGCCACTGGTGGGGGTGGTGCCACTGGAGCGGGTGGGGGTGCTGGAGCAGCAGGGGCTGGGGGAGCCGCTGGTACACTGGAAACTGCAATATATCAAAAAACAACATCAGGCTCAAGTAACCAAATTGCCACCACCCAACAAATGGTACAATCATTAATTAACATTTTTTGCAATATACATGTACTTCTAATGTTTCAAAATAATTTTCAAACTCTAATATGAACTATTTCACACTTTGATCCCTAATAATTATTAAAAATAAATATTTCAAATGGTGGAACATTCATGTAGCTCTAGATAACAAAAAATTTGTGTTATGCTTGCTGCCCAAGATTAAAGCAATGCAAGAATTATATAGACATTTAAACATTAACAATGGTATTTCTGACTTTCTTCTTTATTTTTCAAAATTTTAAAAATTATCTTTTTTAATCTTAAAATAATGATAGAGACATTTACAAATTCAGAAGTAATATTTACCTACTCATATTAGCTGAGCAATTTTATCCTGTATATTTGAATTGATTAAAATTCTATAGGTTTTTTTCGGATAAGATTAAATACTAAATACATATATCAATATCAAAGTTCTATTGATACAGCATATGAGGCCATGCAAAAGGCATGGCAAAATTCATATGATCAGAATTAAACGTTTAATATTATGCTTCAGTAAAAAAAAAAAAAATTATGCAGCGCTTACTGACAAGTAAAGTTACAGTCAAAGAAAGTGTCCTCAAGTTAAACAATAAAAGAACTGATTAAGGAAATCAGTAAAAAAGAATCTGACTGCTAGCAGGTTTGTTTTCTATTTTTAAATATTGATAAGAGTAGAGAAAAATAAATAAAGTACTAACTTTATAAAGATGACAAAAAAGCACCACTACAAATGCATATTATTGCTCTTGTTAACATTATTAAAACACTGCATAAATACTCTATAATTCATTCTACAGTCTTGTTATAAATGCATGTTATTTTAGCCAATCAAATAAGGCCATACAAAAAAAATTAATTTCCTTTCGTAGTAGAATAAAAAACCAAATTTAATAAAAGAATCATAAAATCAAAGATGTAAATTATCAGAAATATTTTGATCAAATTATTCCATGTCTAATTTTAAATATGTTTATCTATAGAGACTTCTCTTTACAACAAACATGGGACTCAGTATTTATTTCATATGGCCTTATACACTTATTAGTCTCTGCCACCAGAACTAGCCATAACCACATACACAGTGACAACAATCATGCAAAATGTACCTATTGTTCTGGGCTTTTTGGTTCTTGTGATAATTTTTCTGGAATTCAAATTACAATACATGTGAATCAAATTGATTCACTTCCATTCAAAGTATTTTTCTCTTTTATATCAATTCAGATTATTGATAATTTAAATTAACCTATAAATTTTTTTTGGACCTTAAGAAAATTTTTCTTGATTATAAGAAAGTTTGTCAGATACTTTCAATCATTTTGGTACATTTATGTGCAGTATACCCCCATCACATGAAAATCAAAATGGCCTCTAATGCTTAATAAAGATAATGTAATTGTACGACATTCCAATGTTCAACATCTGTTTCCATTCCCGAAGCAGAAGTTTATAGTGCTATGCCAACAAAATTAATTTTCTATAGATCTCAGAATTAAGTAAAACAAAAACATCATAAAACTGCTGAAATTCATTTTGTTTTAACACAGCATAAATATTTTACATGTTAAGCTTGACTTCTTTCCTTGGTAAGAAAAAGGTATGGTTAACCACTATCTAAAACTGGAAAATAATTTCAGAAATCTTTCAAGATATTTAAAATTTACAAAAATTTAAAATGCTTGTAAAAGTGATGAATTAATTGTTTCTGCTTTTCATGTGCATGTGGCTTATAAATGCATATTTATTCATACTAGGCCCTAGTGCTGATATGTTATATAAAATCATGGTATTGTATACAACGTAATGGAATCGGAACAGATTCATTTGTGTACGTCATAATCATATCACACAAAGTGTGCTTACAAAATGCGAATACATGTATGAACATATAGTTTGTGTATATCCACCTATTATATTGCAAAAATTGATCATTAACACTGTGTGTATTTGACATCTTTACCACTTGATACTTCGGTTACATTAATAATCTCTCTTTTATTTTGTTTCATTGACAGCTTTATCATTGTAAAATTTGGTATTTTGTGTGTGTGTATTTTGTTTGTTGTTGTTGTTTTTAGTTATATACAAAATATATATATTACAAAACTATGAGAGCAAATTTATGTTTGTGTATAACCATACCTTACTCTTTTAAGCTGAAGTTTTGATTTTAATAAACAATTACTAACATTTGCAGAGAGAAGTTAAAGAAAGCAAAAATGTCAACATTTGAACAATACTTGTTTAATAGTCAATCAAATTCTATCAAAATGGGGGTAAACACACCTTTAGAAGTCTGGCTAGATGATGAATCAGATGGTTTAGATGAAGATGACGATGACGGTGCTGAGGTCTCTCCTGAAACATCACCATTCTCCTGGACCACTTTCTGCAAGGTAAACAGGATTTGTTTTACTTTCTGAACATTATACATAAGTCCAATGTTTGCTATGTAGAAACATTACTCCCAGAACATTAGACTAAGTATATTTAAATCCATTCCATTCAATGTACAGATGTACATGTACCACCATCATCTCATGAACATGAATAATGTATCATTTTAAGAAAACTTATTTTCAAACATCTACATAATGGTGGCTGTTCATGGAGGTTTGACTGTAATAAACATCAAACATCAAACAGTATATGTTGTGAATTTGTTATACACTTTGAACACCTAAAATAAATTTAACAATTTAACCTAATTAAACAATAAATTACCATGTTAATGTTCAAAGTTTGTTTAAAAAAAGGGGGATTTTCTGCAATAGGTGATGAAAGTGTTATACAAAATGCCAAAAATGTATTTTTATTAAAGTAATTCAGTCAAACCTTTTTAGATTTCCGTCTTTTCTTTTTCTCATCTTCTGACATATGGAATTGCTTTGCTTTGGATAATCTCTTTAACTGGTTAATCTGAAATTTAAAAAAATTGACAAGTGATTTCATTCTGTAAAACACTGCAAAATACCTAAACACACTTTTTCTACAAAGAAAACACAGTACACTTAAATTACATAAAGAAAATTTTGTAACAAATCAAATTAAATACATGTACATGTAAATATGCAAGGTTTTGAACTTTTGCCAGTCTTGATCACTTTGAATTCTAAATTCATAATTAATGAAGATCTGTTTACAATTTTTTGTTCTTCCTTCAGCCTTTTCTCCATTTGCTCTTTTGCACTCTTTATGGCCTCTTTTAACTTGCTTGGGATTTTCAGGACTGGTTTATCTGTTGGAGGTAGAGTCACCCCAGCAAAGAACCTATGATAAGTTCTCACAGTTTAAACAGATGTACTGTCACAAACAACATGCCATATTACATACCCTTAAGATACTATCACAGATGTTCTGGTAAGCTTATACAGAAAATAAGAGGCCCACGGGCCACAGTGCTCACCTGAGTAACTTTGGCCTTGCTGTTTTTCACCTGATTTTTCTCACCCCCCCCCCCCCCAGTTCTTATTGTGGCCCTGCCCTATGCCCAGGGGTCATGATTTGAACAACTTAGAATCTACACTACCCAGGAATGCTTCCACAAAAGTTTCAGCCTTTCTGGCCAAGTGGTTCTTGAGAAGAAGATTTTTAAAGATTTTTACTATATATTTCAATGTAAAACTTGGATTCCCTATTGTGGCCCCGCCCTACCCCGGGGGTCATGATTTGAACAATTTAAAATCCAGACTACCCCAGGATGCTTCCACATAAGTTTCAGCCTTTCTGGCCCAGTGGTTCTTGAGAAGAAGATTTTTTAATGACCCAACCCAATTTTTGTATTATCTTGATTATCTCCCCTTTGATGGGGACTTGGCCCTTCATTTTTATAATTTAAACTCCTCTTCACCCAAGGATGCTTTGTACCAAGTTTGGTTAAAATTGGCCCAGTGGTTCTTGAGCAGAAGTCAAAAATGTGAAAAGTTTACAGACGGACGGACAGACGGACGAACTGACAGACGGACGGACGACGGACAACAGGTGATCAGAAAAGCTCACTTGAGCTTTCAGCTCAGGTGAGCTAAAAAAAGATATTCAGTGAAATAATTCTAATAGGTTCATAACAGAAATTTTGTTTTCAATTTTAAGGGATAAAATGCCTTTGTGCCAACTCTTCTATAATTATGTAATGACATGAACAAAAATACACTGTACAATAATTATAAAGTCTAAAACCTTTAAATAAAGATTTTCAGATTTTCTAAGTTCTTGAAAAGCAGTTTTGGTGTTCAGTAATAGGACCTTCTGATTATTGATTAACTGTTCTCTTTGTCAATTCTTGAATTCTCTATATTTCTTGAAGGCTCAATTTTGTGGATTTTTTAAGTGTATTCTTGCCTGTAAATTTAACATCATTAAATAAAAATAAATTGAGAGTTTTTTTGTTTTTTTTTCCAAATCCTCTTTTTTTAAAATCATAAAACAAAGTCCTAGTGAAATTTAAAATATATTTTTACAATCCACAAAAATTGGTCCCCTCAAAAAAAAATTATCAATTTCACAGTACATGCATAAGTTCTCGATGGTTTTACTTAAATTTTCACAGACAATACTTGTTTTGAAATATTATGAAATGAAATATTACTGCTGGGACACAGTTGTATAGCAATAGAAGTTGGTTTACTTACGGATGAGAGAGAAGATCATCAACAGTTGGCAGGCCACCCTTACAGGCTTCTGGGGACAAAATTGACTCCAAGACAGATCCTATGACATAGAGTAAAAATGAAAATAAAAATAGCTCTCACAATAATTACTACCACATAACACAGTGGTAACTATGACATAAATTCAACATACAAGGTAAAAATGAAAATAAAAATGACTCTTAGCAATAATTACTACTACATAAAATGCCTAATATTAACAATTTGTTGATAAAACATAAGTTAGTATATTTATTAATGTCAAATTAATATTGATCCTAAATATTTCAGAACTCACTAATCTCTGGTGGAGAAGATGGAGGGAATGAATCACAGGTGGCAGCCAGGAGCTGTTTACCGTAGGTCAACTCATAGAGTAGCTGGCCAAAACAGTAGACATCAATCAACTCACAAGTCTGAAATAGAGCAAGTGAACTCATAGAATAGCTGGCCAAAACAGAAAACATCAACCAACTCACAAGTCTGAAACAGAGCAAGTCAACTCATAGAGTAACTGGCCAAAACAGTAGACATCTATCAACTCACAAGTCTGAAATAGAGTAAGTGAACTCATAGAATAGCTGGCCGAAACAGAAACATCAACCAACTCACAAGTCTGAAACAGAGCAAGTCAATTCATAGAGTAGCTGGCCAAAACAGTAGACATCTATCAACTCACACGTCTGAAATAGAGGCAAGTCAACTCATAGAGTATCTGTCCAAAACAATAGATATCAATCAACTCACAAGTCTAAAATAAAACAGGTCAACTCATAGAGTAACTGGCCAAAACAGTAGACATCTATCAACTCACAAGTCTGAAACAGAGCAAGTCAATTCATAGAGTAGCTGGCCAAAACAGTAGACATCTATCAACTCACACGTCTGAAATAGAGGCAAATCAACTCATAGAGTAACTGACCAAAACAGTAGACATTAATCAACTCACAAGTCTGAAATAGAGCAAGTGAACTCATAGAGTAGTTGGCTGAAACAGTAGACATCAATCAACTCACTAGTCTGAAATAGAGCAGGTCAACTCAGAGTAGATGTCCAAAACAGTAGACATCAATCAACTCATAAGTCTATAACAGAGCAGGTCAACTCATAGAGTAGCTATCCAAAACAGTAGAATGATGTCAATCATTGACAATCAACTCATGAGTCTGAAATAAAACAGGTCAACTCATATAACAGTTGTCCAAAATAGTACACATCAACCAACTCCAAAACAGTAGATGTCAATCAACTCACAAGTCTGAAATAATGCAGGTCAACTTATAGAGCAGTTATCCAAAACAGTAGACATCAATCAACTCACAAGTCTGAAATAGAGCAGGTCAACTCATAGAGTAGCTGTCCAAAACAGTAGACATCAATCAATTCACAAGTCTATAATAGAGCAGGTCAACTCATAGAGTAGCTGTCCAAAACAGTAGACATCAATCAACTCTCAAGTCTATAATAGAGCAGGTCAACTCATAGAGTAGCTGTCCAAAGCAGTAGACATCAATCAACTCACAAGTCTGAAATAGAGCAAGTGAATCACAGAGTAACTGTCCAAAACAGTGGACATCAATCAACTCACAAGGCTTAAACAGAGCAGGTCAACTCATAGAGTAGCTGGCCAAAACAATACCCATCAATAAACTTACAAGTCTCAAATAAAATGTCAATTCATAGAGCAGATGTCAAAAAAGTTTACAACAACATGATCAATCAATTCACAAGTCTGAAATAAAACACATCAACTCATAAAGTTGCTGTCCCAAACCAGTTTTCATCAACCAGTTCACAAGTCTTATTATTATACTTTCATGTTAAATACTAAAATCTGATTGGTTTAGACACATTTAACAATCCGTAATATTACCCTCAGCGTTAGCAACACACTTGACAACGGGTAACATTACGAAAATATCACATGCGTTCAAATCATGCGCGTATGGTTCACCGTAGAATTCTCAAAATGTCGGTTGTGCATTTGAAAGAAGCCGAATAAACGACGTCAATAAAAGCTTGCGTCCGATGTGGCTTACTTGAAAAAGACAAACGACAGACGAAACATCCTTGCGAGTGCAAACTTTAGGTGATAAAGGACTTTTTGAGTAGCGAACAAATAATAAAGAGGTTGGTAAATCTTTTACGAAGCTTTCCTATTGAGAAAAATAGAAGTGGGGAGTTTGAAAGCTTTCTAAGCGTGAAGTTAACGTCGATCTCCGAATTTTTTAATGACATCCGAAATCAATAAGACATTCAGTATAATAAAATAAATAGTGCAAGTTTTTGAGGGTAACAGTTGAAATTGACACCCCTCGGAAAACCATTGTCAACCTCCGCTGACGCGTCGGTTGACAATGGTTTTCCTTGGGGTGTCAATTTTAACTGTTACCCTCAAAAACGTGCACTATTTATATAATAAAACATGTCATCTAATAGAGCATCTGTCCAAAACAGTACACATAGTTCCGAAATAAAACAGATCAATTGTTCAGCAGTTGTACTAAATAGTACAATAGTACACATCTATAAAGCCACTGGTCTTAATAATCAGTAAAACTTCTATAGCACCACAGGTCTAATTACCATAGTACATTACTGACTTTACCAGTGGAACATCTAAGAGGTCATATTACTTGCATTTATTTATTTATTTTTTGTAGTGCAGAAAGAATAGTTTACTGGTATTTTGATTGATACTTACATTGATTTTCTTGTACTGTGTAAAGAATGGTCTATAATAAGATGGTAGCCCTAGCATCCAGTTCTCTATGTCCAACAAGCAACATCTCCCACCGTCTAGTAACACATTGCCAGCATGCAAGTGACCTGTAAGCATTATTTTAAAGATTATCAGTGATGGGAAACAAATGAAGCTTCAAGTTGTATCAAAATAATGCAATATACATGGGTATTCTTGTTCTAAATGAAATTAAATTGTTAATAATTAAAAATTTAATGTCACAATAAGTATATGACAGTTGAGCAACTTTGATGGCCAGTGGCCAGATAGCTCATTTGGTAGAGCACCTGACTAGTGATTCATGGGGCCCAGTTTCAAATCCTGGTCTGGTCTGTCATATTTTCTTTCTTGCTGGTTACAATGTCATTGACCCATTTACAGCAGTTTGTTGTATAGTGAATTTGGTTTTTTTCAGGTTTGCATATCCTAAGATTTGGTTTTAAAAAAGCACATCTTGGATGTACAAAAATGATTTTAAAGCTTACCATATGGTAATCCTTTTTCATGTAGAAATTTCAAAGCATCAAGAATCTGTTTTCCGACAATTTTCACCGCATTTAAGTCTAATGCTGAGTATGCTTTGGGATTTGTGTACTTTTTTAAGAAGTGGTTCTTTGGTTTACATTTACAAATTGAGTCCCTCAAGGTGCCCCTCTCCTGAAAGGCTCTTATGGTTAACCCCCCACTCTCTGTCGTAGTAGAGAAAATCACCGGGCATATCTGAGGATGCTGAAAGAGATTATACTAAATTGATTAATAAACCTGTAATATGTCCGACGGTGAAACCGTTAGGGCGAGCGCAGTTCATTTTCTAAAACTCTATACATCTTCTCAAATGTTTTACATTCTGCTTATTACACTTTTATCGCGCGTTTACTGTGTATCGTACATAATTTTTTTAAAACCGTTATTGAAGTATACAGTGGTTGCAACGTTATTGTTGACAAACCAATCGTGTAGAATCGTTCGTGTAACGTGCGTGATCATTCGTGTAACGTGTGAGATCGTGCGTGTATCAGACTCAATCGTTTGCGGCTTTAATCGTGCGTGATCGTGCGTTAAGAAACGTGTAAATTTCGTTTTGTAAGTTTTTATCGGAATGTTATTTATTATACAAGCATTTCGCTTGTTTAAATTTTTTTCAATCCAAATAAAATGAATGAAACGCGATTTACATAATTGAAAGCAGAACGAACTAATTATCGCTTGGAAATAAGCAATATAGCAATTCGTACAATATTGTGTCTCGTCAAATCGCGTGATTTTTTGTGATAAACCGTACTTAGATGTTTAAGGATTTTTTCTCTGATGTTAATTATGTTTACTGCTAATTATGGTCAAGATATTTTTAAAATCAATAGATCAAAAATAGATATTTTACAAATAAATAAATAAACAATTCTCTACGCTTACATAAATATTTAGTCCGCGAAGGTACATGTACACGACATGATTGTCGGTGTTTCGTTTATCAGTGTTTATCTCTGGAGCTTACTTTTAACTATTTTTATAATTTCTGCAAATAAATGATTTGTAAAATAATTGTTGATTTTAGAGATTTTCAGACTTATCCCTTTCTGCATATTATGAAATCTAATTCAATCAAAACGTACGGTCCACCTACATGTACATCTTCTGATAGAAGGGAAAAAAAACAGTTTTCTTAAGTCGGAGAATTACGTAAATAATTATTTGTTATCTAATGTATTTAGTTTCAGAAATATCCATTTCTATTTTTTCTATTATTTTTCAAAGTCGATGAAATAATATCAATAATTATTTGAAATCTAAAATAAATATTAAGGCTTATTTCGTTTTGAAAATATCCATTCCTAAAGAATTTGAACTATTTTGCGTGAAGAATCGTGCGTTTGCGTTAGCAATCGTGTAAAATCGTGTAACGTGTAGAATCGTGTGCGTGAGGGATCGTTCGTGTAACAGGTTTTATCGTGCGTTAATCATGCGGAATCGTTCGTGTAACGTGATCGTTCGTGTAAGTTGTCAACAATAACGTTGCAGCCACTGTATATTCTCTAACGTTGCAGACTCCCCATGCATCGGGATCGAAATTCCTAATCCTCGGATATTTCCGACAAAATCGGAAATACCCGAGTTGTTAAAGTGACGAAAATATGACGTCACATAAAAAGTCGTGTGTACCAAGGACGCAAACGATAGTTTTGTGGGCAGTTATGGCATGGAAATTGAATTAAATCGTTGTTTATTAATTTTATCAAGTAAGTTGTTGCTATGCTTAAGCCACCATGTTGCTATGCACCACAAAGGATTATTGGGAGTATAGAATATTTTCACGTGGGACGATAAAAATTTCTTTGAACAATGTGCAGATTTCAACCTGAATTTCCTCCGTCCGTACACGTTGTCTATGGAGCTCACTACGCGAGCGGCGCTTTGCGCCGCCTCGCTGCGCTCGCTATAAATCAGGCAGTGTTGGAGTCACATTGAATAAATGGTCAAGTTGGCTGCTATCTGCATGGATATACATGTAGTGTAGCTCTGACAAATAAGAGGCAAGACTAATTCATAGACAAAATTCAAAGGAAATCAAGAGCTTAATGCTTACTACTATATTAGGCCTATGGGATTATAGATAAACCTGAGTAACATGCATAAAGTTTCATCCAAAACATTCCCTAGACACAGGCCAGCCACTTCATGTCACAAACCAGTATAATATAACATAATACATGCATACAGTATGCCAAATCAACACAAGATACCAATATCAATTTCTATTCCCCCAAGCAGAAGAATGAATACAGGAATCAATAAGCCAGAAGCCCCTGAATATAGGTAAAAAAAAAATCCAAAGATATACAGTCATGTAATGCATGCTCAATTAAAGACCAAATTACCCCTATCTGTGAACCACAGTCCGTAAAAAATTTCACAATTATGGTGAAAGCTCATAGTTCCACAGATTATTTGCAACACATCTTGGAAGATTTTATTATCAATATTATTTCAGCTAATTCTGGTCCTATCCCTCAGGCCCCTTGGGGATCATGAAATTAATTTTTGTTCCTTTCACCTACTATGAAACTTTTCAGCAATCTCTGGGCGGAAGCTGAAATTTTTGACAGCTTACTGACAATAGACAAACATGGATAGGAAAAGTTTGAAAATGAAATAAGGTCTTTCAACATCTGGAAAGAAGGATGCCGATACTGAGTCATTAAAACATGTAATTAAGACTATGTTAGAAATCATGGAATCATGGAAACCTGATGAACAGTATACTAAATCTTGCTAAAGGCTGGTAAAACTTTGATCATTACCAACATAAAAAAACATACTCCTCTTTGATTACATGTATAAATGGAGATTAGCAAGAGATTTCCTGAATGAAGTGTTTCTAAAAATATCTCAGATGAATGCTAACATATGATGGTGTATGATGGTAAAGAATGAATCATGGGAAAAATGAAGACCGCCATCAATAGAAAAAGAATGCAAAAAATGGAAAGGGATAGGGCAAACACCATTGTAAGCGGAAGAATTATCAAACTTCAAGCTCTGTTAGGTCTAGAAAGAAGAGTTGGAAACAGCAAGTTGTAAATGGCAAGATCTATAAAGGTTACACACAATAGGATGAAACAACTTTGGTTGAAGGAGGATCATGTAGCTTTTTTGGGACAATATCATAGAGATAGTGTATTTAACACAGCTACTGTAGCTCTCATACCATGATTTTAGCCTATTATTTCAAATCTTATGCACAATATATTGTAGATAATGGAATACATATACATGTATTAAGATTCACATATATGCAGTGTTAATGCTATAAGAAATTAGTAGAGCATAATTACCTGAATGGTGGGTAATAATTTCATTATGGCATTTAATTCTTTTTCAGGAATATATTTATCTGGACCAAATCCACTCTGCAATTTACACAGAATGTTTTTTAAAGGCAACAAACAATACAAGTACTTACTAGGTTAAAATAATGATAATATTGATATAATACCTTTTTTAAATTAATATAATACATACATGTAACAATATGTTACATTGATGTTTTAAACTGTACATGTTTAAAGATAGCTTAAAATACAGAGACATTACATATGCACAAGCCTTCAGCCTTATTGTGTCTGAATGAAAGCCAAGAATAAAGTTACTTTTGTACAAAGACAATGCATGCTTTACATTAATTTACAAATTAACAATTTTAATGAATAACAAACCCAAGGCAGGACTTGATGGACTTTAGGCTGATCTAAAGGTTTGGCTAATAATACAAACCCAAGACAGGACTTGACAGACTTTAGACTGCTCTAAAGATTTATCTAATAATACAAACCCAAGACAGGACTTGACGAACTTTAGGCTGATCTAAAGGTTTATCTAATAATACAAACCCAAGACAGGACTTGACGAACTTTAGGCTGATCTAAAGGTTTATCTAATAATACAAACCCAAGACAGGACTTGACGAACTTTAGGCTGCTCTAAAGGTTTATCTAATAATACAAACCCAAGACAGGACTTGACGAACTTTAGGTTGATCTAAAGGTTTATCTAATAATACAAACCCAAGACAGGACTTGACGAACTTTAGGCTGCTCTAAAGGTTTCACTAATATATAACTCTTCCTTATTCTCCAACCTAAGATTGCAGATAAAAAAAATTAATTGAAGACTAACTTTGTATCAAATTTATTTGTATTAATTTCCAAAAGATCAACAAAATGAAAAATTTAAATTAAAAAATCAGAGAGAGAGAGAGAGAGAGAGAGAGAGAGAGAGAGAGAGAGAGAGAGATGGGGTGGGTTCCTGACCTATATCTGGCAGTGGCTCCACTACATCCCATTTTTTCTCTGATCTAAACACCATGGATACATGTTGTAATGCCAACTCTGTAAACATTAATGGTATAAAAAAATTATTAATAAGGACAGTAACCTTTTAAACATGTACATGTATTAGATAATGTGCGTTAACTATAATCATTAGTGAAGATCCATGTACATTATTAGTCAATATTACAAGCGATGGAATGAAAATTTAATATTCATTTATAAACTAACATGATAAGATTCATTTAAATTAAAGCAAGATAAAATGGCAAAATTATGTAAATGATCTTGATAACTGTATACATGATATATGAGGAAGTTTCTGGTGTAATTAATACACTCTTGTGATTGCTAACTAAGAGTACAATTAGAATATTGTACTCACATTCTAAGTACTGTAGATACACTAAAACCCAGTTACAATTAATAGCAAACATAGACAGACTGTATCAGGAAAAGAGGAATGTACAAAAAGACAAATATATGGTAAGACTGGGAATCATACCCAGAATCCGTACATTACTAGTCAGGTGCTCTACCTTAGAGCCATATATAGACTGAATACCTAACTTATAACATTCTTACCTACTTAAACATATATAGACTGAATACCTAACTTATAACATTCTTACCTACTTAAACATATATAGACTGAATACCTAACTTATAACATTCCTACCTCCTTAAACATATATAGACTGAATACCTAACTTATAACATTCCTACCTCCTTTAACATATATAGACTGAATACCTAACTTAAAACATTCCTACCTCAGTCCCCAACCAGTCTTTGCCCTCAAAGAAACACAAGTTCAGTGTGTCAGGACTTCATAAAACAGTAGGAGTTGAATCAGTTCAATATTATATATCACTAAAACCTATCTTTTCACCAAGAACACTTATTTATTGGATATAAAAAAAAATGAAAGGTACAAATTAAAGGAGCATTTTCAGCTGACCCTAGTAATTCCCTATAACCATTTTATTGCTTTCATCTTTGGATTTCCTAACAGTTCTTTTTGTGTTTTCTAATCAACTTTTGTTCAATTTAAAATTCAGTGTTTTCCTTCTTATTTTTTACATTTTTACTCAGCACAAAAAAATAACAAAAATTAAAAACTTGGTTGATATTAAGGCAGTGTACAGTGAATTTTGAAATGTGTTTAGGTGAAACTTTTATCATCATTCAGTATAAATGCCTTACAATGTAGTTTATACATACTATTATCTTAAGTTTACAGCTGCATTTCAAAATAATTTACCTGGAATATTAACAGCATAATTTGTAGAATCCAGGAATTTTTTGAAGTATAATGTATTTGATAACATATGATGATCAGCAACAGCAGCAAGGTAGTCCTGAAGATAAAAGTTTCTATTTATCACTCACGCATTAAAACTGAGTCGATCAGATTCCCAATAACCAATTTCCAATAATCAGTGCAGAAAACATCATTACAATAACTGATGTATGTACATTAAAAATACCTATAACAAACAAGACAGTAAAATAAACTGAAAAAAAAATTTTTTTTAAAAATTCCAGTTTTAGCATCTGTTATCACATTACATCAAAATCACTGAACCAAACAAAGATAGAACTTTTCGTCATCTTCTTGTCTGAATTCATGAGCATGAGAACAGAGACTCTGTTATAAAAACAAACACACTTCTACCTGTAATCCTTGTTGTCTCTCTGCAATAAATTCTCTGTCAAAGTTACCAAACACTTTCTTTGGAGGAAGTTGAAGCTCTATATTAGAGATCTTTAATTCGCCATCCAAGGCAACAAAGTCATTATACCGCTTGTCAACTGTCCAGCTATGCTCTGGTATTGGACCTCTCTGTACTTTAACACAGTATTTCTGAAGGTAAGATATTGAATATTAAAGAGTAACTTAAATGATTTTATTACCTAATCAAATGGATTTTGTTGTTTTATTAGAGATTTAATATTTTCATCTATTCTGCATGTGTTTTCAGTTTTTCTTATTTTTGAAACCAATCTATTGAACTGCTGGTCAATAGACTGCGATCTATTGGACTACCGATCAATAGATGGCGATCTATTGACCGGCAACATATTTCAGAAAAACCAATCCCGGTTTCGAATTTATATGTAACATTGTGCAGACATCAGTGGTAAACAATCATTTTATTTGATCTTTTCATAATAATTTTTAAAAAATGTAAGATTTCAATAGTAGGATATTTTATTTAATGAAAGTAACTTAAATATATGATATGAATATGAATGCATAATGGTTTGGAAACCTTTTGTATTATACAATTGTGAACACTAAATACTGAAAATGGAATTAGGTAATAAAACAATTATTTAATGCCTGAGCAGTCAATTAGACCAGAAATTTTTCCCTTGGTGCAGGGAACAGCTCAGTGTGTTCTATTGCCCTCGGCCGTTGGCCTCGAGCAATAACACTGAGCTGTTCCCTGCACCAAGGGAAAAATATTCTGGTCTACTGACTGCTCAGGCATTAAATAACTGTATACTCTGACATTTAAGACAAGAAACAGCAATATTGATCAGCAACTCAGATGAACAAGGGTAATTGCTTGCATCAATACAAATGCAACTGGCAAAATTGCAGAGTTAAAATGAAGTGTAAACAATATAAATATACATATACATACTCAAATACAAAAAATGTTGACCGTATGTGAAATTTTCATCAAATTCCTTAAACTTAAGCAAGAGCATGATGTATTCTCTTTAGAGAAGTGGACAGGCTTTCGCCTACATCCACTTCTCTTCGCAAGCCTTCATGTTTTGATTCTGGAAAACGTGTAAATCTCGAACCGGTGACGGTCTACACTTCAACTGACATTTCGTCTAAAATACGTCTGAATGTACGTAATAGACGTGTTATATTATCAATTTCAACATAAATACACACAATTGTCACAAGAAAACCGACCTTTAAGTATTGTTAATCCATTTTCACAAGTTCTCCATCCCGGATTTAAACTAATGTTTATCTACCACAGTTTAATAGAAAAAATTGAAAATTTTATGTCGGATAGTTTGGAAAAATTGGCGAAGACATATAATGTTCAAAAAAAGTTTTTGAGAATTCACTTTTGATTTAGCATATTATTCGAAATTAATATTATTACGTATACTTATTTTTACTATTTTATTACAATTTAAATGTAAATTTGAGCTTAAAAAATACTTCATTACTTCCTCACTGACAATACTAAAAAATATTTTCTTTTATTTTTAAACGATATCAACTCTACCTTTCCCGAGAAATGAAAAAAGATTTAAAATAAAAATCAAAAGACTTTGAAGGACTGAAAAACTTGAGGAAATACTGTCTCGTTAGTTTAAACAGAGTAGACGATTTCTCTCGTTTCATTATTATTTTGTAAAAATAGTTTCCATTTTTATCCGAATTAGAGATTTTTGAATACTTCAAGAGTTACTTGCACATAATTTAAATCCGGGATGGAGAACTTGTGAAAATGGATTAACAATACTTAAAGGTCAGTTTTCTTGTGACAATTGTGTGTATTTATGTTGAAATTGATAATATAACACGTCTATTACGTACATTCAGACGTATTTTAGACGAAATGTCAGTTGAAGTGTAGACCGTCACCGGTTCGAGATTTACACGTTTTCCAGAATCAAAACATGAAGGCTTGCGAAGAGAAGTGGATGTAGGCGAAAGCCTGTCCACTTCTTTAAAGAGAATAGAGCATGATGATGCTTGAAAATTTATACTTTAAATTCCATAATGTATAAATTCATTGGGTAGCCAGAATTAATTAAAATATCATCAAAGTAGATACCAACAATAATGATAAAACGCGTTATACCCAGTTAATAACATTTCTACTCTAAATGAGTTATGGATAATCATCACATGCATAATGTACTTTCACTTTCACATACAACAATCCATACCATGTGATCTTCTCGTTTTTCGGCTGATTCCACCCAACATTTTAGCGGTATAGTGTCATCAAGCGTTATTTTTGTCTCCTTTTTCTTCTCAAAAACTGTAGCCATGATCTAGACTTACGACATCAACTGCTGACGTTGTTTACATTTCATCCTTCTTTGAGTGGGGGCGTGATAATTGGAGAGAATAAAAGTCGAATATTTAATGATTAAAAACTCCGGAATTGTCTCAGATTGCTGCTTCTTCTGTCAAATCCACAAGATTTAGATTAAAAAAAGAATTTTAAGGCAAACCTCACCGATTTAAAAAAAAAATTTATTATTTATATATTTTTAATTTTTTTCAATCTTTGTCATCGAAACGTTTTAAACTATAGACTATAAGGACACTCCCTGCTAAGAAGAATATTGATTGAGGTCAACTTAGTCATTATAGAAGTAAACAACTTTTAGATGAAGTGTAAAGTAGAAGTGGTTTATTTGTTTAACCACATGTTGTAAAATATGGAAATTCGTTAAGAGAAAGATATGAAAGATGAGGTGAGTCCAAAACTTGTTTTCTCATAACAGATAAAGAGAGATAAACGATGTTTGATGGACCTGTTACATTTTGGAGGGACTGTTGGCACCCTGGTATTTTTAGCTATAGTTTCCTTGCTTTGGAGCCAATCTCATAGTATTTATAACTGGTTAAAAACAGCATGAGACAATTCATGCGTGTATGCTATGTATGAATTATGTTCATAACTTCATACAGTTAATTGCTTTATTTAACAGAAAAATACTAATGTTCAGTGAAGCATAACCTTTAAAAAGTGCTGTTCTGGGAAAAACCACAAAATTGAAATAATTTGAAATGAGGTCAGCAAATAACCTCTTGATATTGTGAAAACACTGTGGATGTACACATAGTAATCTTTGCTGAGATTTGGTGAAGGTAATGATATTTGAACTGATGAAGGCATCAGTCGAAATATGTAGTCGTGTTGAATCTCATTCAAGATTATAGGTATATATGCACATCTGATATTGTTCTTATGTAGAATGATCTCATCAGACATCATTTTTGTTCACAGACAAGTATCATAAGTTACAAATGCTCACTCATGCATCAGTGTGTCACCTGTAACCACTGTCCTGGTAACGTGTGCTCTTGACATGCTTAAAATGTGCCCCAAACGAAGTCAGGGAATTGTTTTTACTCTGTTTCTTATTATTACTTCATATTCTTCTTTGTCTTCCTGTAAACTATTAATCTGATTGAGATGAAACCTTTTTAGCTTTAATAGACATTTTGTGTACATTTGCGGAACCAAAGTCATTTTATGCACACATGCATGCACGTGATTGCGCATGTCATGATTGAAATTAGTAATTACTAATATTTTTCATATAGCCGTAACTTTTACATTTTTGGATGAAATGCTCAGAATATAAAGATATATGGGTAGACTTTACTTTTACCGGTCCCCAGATCCAAAGGATCCGCACGCTCATTGCACTATGACGCAAGATTTATGTCACTCAACTGATAATATAGGGTTATTGAACTTACAGTGTATATTGGTCAATATTGGCACGAGTTGGCTGTACAAATGCACAAGCCTGCGAGTGCATTTGCACAGCCAATGAGTGCCAATATTCACCAATATAAGTTCAATAACTCCTTTATTATATAGCTAAAACATTTTCCATTGATTTATATTAATTATTTCAATTAAATGACTCAAATTAACAAGAATTTTCAGTATTGTTATTTAAACTAATGTCTGTCCTGTAAGTATTCAATATCGCATCATTCCAGTGACCTTACCAAGCGTTATGATATGCTTGTTAAGGTTTTATTGAGGCTAATAAGTACTCACTAAATTATTAATCAACAATTTAAATTTTGCATAAAAATAAACACATCTTACCTAGCTGCCACTACCTTTCATAACTTTGCCTTTGAGAGGTTGACTAGACAACATTTTTTGTTAACAATGGGGCCTTCAATATTGAACACTCTTATTCAGAATGTTTCGGGCATGCTCATATATGTAATGCAAACTCAGCATTCAATAAAACGCCCAAGATATTGAACGCTAAAATTCTCTAGACTTTTAGTAGTTTTTTTTTTACAGACTATTCATTAGCTATATAATAAGATGTAACTATGATGTAGGATTTATGTCACTAAAGTGATAAGGGTTAGTCTTGCACACTACTTGACATGTTAGGGTTAGTCTTGCACCCACCTGAGAGATAAGGGTTAGCCCTTGCACAAGTATTTGACTGATTAGGGTTAGTCTCACATCCATCCAAGAGATTAGGGTTAGTCCTCATACATTATTTGACTGATAATTAAGGGTTAGTCTAGCATCTTCCCTGCAGATTTGGGTTAGTCCTCATATACCATTCGAGAGATTAGGGTTAGTGACTTGTTCTTTTAGATGAATTAAAAAATTCAGTTGCGTCTGTATTTTTTGCAAAAAGGCCAAAAACCTAGTACTTTTTATTTTTTTTGGATCCTTCACGTGATCTCATAAATTTTGAAGTCGCCTACAGCGACACTATATTTTAGCGTATTTTTCTAGGGACCAGTAACAGTCATTCCAGATATGTGTTAGCAATCTAGACAAGAGGTATAGGATATTTAGGGTCATTAAGGAATAGGAAGGAAGGAGTGAGGATATTTAGGGTCATTAAGGAATAGGGAGGAAGGAGTGAGGATATTTAGGGTCATTAAGGAGTAGGGAGGAGGGAGTGAGGATATTTAGGGTCATTAAGGAATATGGAGGAAGGAGTGAGGATATTTAGGGTCATTAAGGAATATGGAGGAAGGAGTGAGGATATTTAGGGTCATTAAGGAATATGGAGGAAGGAGTGAGGATATTTAGGGTCATTAAGGAATTCGGAGGAAAGAGTGAGGATATATTTAGGGTCATTAAGGAATAGGGAGGAAGAAATTGAAGGGAAACAAGAAGCAGGGCTCAGTAAATGTTAGAGAGGGCGGGACGAGGTGCAGAGAGAGGAAATCGGAATAAAAGAGGGGACAAAATTATGAGAAGGAAGAACATTTGATTCCTGTTTTACAACAAATCATTGAAACTATGAATATTAAAGTTGGACAGAAGATGATTACTGTTTAAATTAAATTTATTCGCTACCTCAGGATTCAAGAGGCCTGATTGTACAGATTCATTCTCCTGCTAACAGTTCTGCCAGAATGACATTGATTTATAAAATTATCAATAGGTACACACACAATGGTATACTCATGTAACTGTCAAACTTAAGGGTTATTTTTAATCATAAAGAATGACAAAATATATGCTTGAAAATAAATATATTTATTAATAACAGTTACTTAAAAAAAACTTTATAACCAACAGAAGAAGTTTACATCCAACATCAAAGCTTCTATCTCCTTTTCTGAAATTTTCAGAAAGAAAAAGATGTTTGAATACTAGTATCTAGAAATATACTGTGTAGCAGGCTTTCTTGGTGGGTGTAAAATTTAGCATAGTTTGCCAATAATTTTAGCGTAATTTATTTTAGTGGACACAGGTTTCAACACATTGCAAAAAAAACGCTAAGAAAAATACTGAATATTTCAGCAATTAAAATTTTATTGGGCCACTTCCAAAAAGCTAAAATAAGCCCAAATTAGCACTGACTGCTAAAATAACTCATAACTATAATATGGTATATTTTATGCTGAGTAGGACAATACACGTATTGACTTAAGAGGAGTGCTAAATATGCTATATGTACAGTACTACTATTGCTGTACTATTATTCCAGTATGTTATGTACTAGATAATTAGATAATACGTGTGACAGACACTGATGAAATTATGACAATGACCATGAACCTATTGAGAGACTTTATAATTGGCTGGAAATGTGAAATGTATCATGCAATATATTGATTGCAAGGTATGTAATGTTTGAGATGTTGATAAGGGATGAATTCTATGTTAACTGAATGTCAACATTGACAAGTATGTCATCCAAAGACCTAATTTTTTGCTGTACATGTTTCACTGGCTAGAACCTAACTCTAACAAGCTGTTTACTGTGTGATATTTGTAAACCATATTTAACATTTCTACGTGATACATGATGCTATTTAGAATACTGTGAAAAATGGATAATAAGCATTTGGCATGTTTGGTGTGGCCTCTTATGGAATTAGATAATTTATTCTCATTTCTGTAATAGACTTGGGTTGTTTTATCGAGATATTTTTATGAGATAACTTTTGAGAGTGTCTGCATGAGAGATTTAAAGAGTGACCCTCATTATTTTTATTACAGAAAATTCTTTAAGCATTTAAGAGACAAATTTACAAATATAAACCATCCATATAAGTAAGCAAAAACACTTGGACACATTTTATAAAGTGAATTATGGTTTAAATGAATTCAAGATTTTAATTTTCGGAGTTTAAGGAAGTGCCTACGAGTTCTTTTTCTTCCAGATTCATAATGGACGTACTGCTTTCGTTTCTTATCGTGTATTTGATCAGCAATCAAGTGGAGGCCAGTCTTAATCAGAAAGTTTGTAAGTAGATTTTGAACCTCAAGATATTTTTTTGGAAATACATGAAATGATAAATTATTTGACATAATATCTATGAAGCATATTAAATGACGGATCAGCTGAGCATAACTTTAAAGGCTACATTTACATTGTACATAGGATTCAGTAGCGTTGTTATCAGAGTATTATGATATACTGAATGTCTCTATTGCTATTATATGCACACATTTGAACAAATTGCCTTACAGATGCCTTTGACCAGAGGAAGTACTGTCCAGAAAATGGCGCCCACACACAGTCCTTGACCTTAACTGACGAGGTCATCCTCCTAGCCAAATCTAGATCAGACTCCTTCTTTGTTGACAAATTTAAAAGCATTTTTAATAAAAGGGTGACAGACTGTGAAATGAAATTTATGACTTCCTCTTTGGATTCCAACACGAAACAAGCCCTGCAGATTGAGTTTGAGAGTTTTAACATTGCCAAGGGTGCATGTGATGTCTCACTCCAGCTTCATCAAAGTTCCACACAGTTTTTTACTAAAGATGTAAAAGAAATGGTGAGAATATTACTTATATAGCAATTTATTTTCATTACTTCTACTTTTTTTTTTAAATAATATGACAACTTGCAGATTGTATCCCTCTGTGTATGTACTACCAAAAATGAAAGGGTCAATGCATATTGGTGAGAATTTTTTTTTTGGTTTGTTTTGTTTTGTTTTTTTGTTTGTTTGTTTGTTTTTGTTTTGTTTGTTTGTTTTCTTTTTTTTTTTGGGGGGGGGGGGGGTGTTTTTGATTTGGATATAGTTTACCTTTGAAATTGAAACATTTCTACCTTGCATCAGATTTAAAGGTATTGTACATGTAACACCTTGCTTGAACCAAACCTGCATGAATACTGCATTGATACCATGAATGCTACAGGTGACATTTATATACTTTGTGGAAAAAGGCTAGGATTATAGAAGCATTACCTTTCTTTAAGCAACAATTATAAACCCTAGAACCAAACCAATATGATGGACAAGCTATTTAGGGAAGTATGCTGGCATTCCTTAGTGAACTTCTTTAATGTACGTTTTTCCGTGGTTACATGTGAATGCTTCAGCATGTCATTGTCTGTGTATTGTGCATATGTTCAAACTTTCCCGATTCTGGCAGGATCCTCCCGATTTTACCCTTTGATCCCGTTTTTCCCGATTGAGAATGCAATAATGCCCTAAAATCCTGATTTGAAAAATTTCACCATAAAATTTCCAATTTCAGAGTTTCCTGACCGCCATACATTGTCAATCAGAATAAGAATATCAGACTTGTTTTTGTGCTTTTGTGGAATTCTTGTTAGATGTAGATAAGTAGTTTACATAAGAAGACTGTAACTTTTCTCTCCTGTTAGGCAATCTTGACCTGTGGGAGTCCCAAACCTCCGACTTTATTTACCGAGGAAGGATACGTAGTCCGCTTCCAATTCAGGAGACCCGACAATGACGAGGATTATTACAATTTTAGGATCAGCATTAAGCGTTCAGGTATGGTCTATCTAGTTTCTGTCAATGTTTAAGATAACAATTCAGAGATGATGATTGAGCACTGCTTCTGAGGTCAATTAGTCAGAAGGGACTATAACAATGCCTTTATTTCCTTATTTATCACATTTGGACCATTATTTTTACATTATTTCACTGTAATTTCTGCATGCAGTTGATCTTATTTTTTTTTTCATCATTAAGTCAGCAGGGTATAATCATATCTAAATGAAGTCAACAGAAACAAATTGGTAGCATCTGTTGGATTTTATTTCCCAGTCAAGGGAGGGGGGTCATATAGTGGCAATCATTATCTATAGCCTTCTGTATTTTCTGTTTCTTTTAAAAGTTCACAAAGATTTGGTGGTTAACCAATGACTGCATGACTACAATTTTTTACCATTTTGTCACACATCAAGCTCAAATCTACATATTTGGTTAAATATTTAATATTAATCTGGATACAGATTGGAATCATGTGACCAATAAAAGCAAATGGTCTTATTGAAAGTAGATGTTTGCATAATTATGAACATCATCATTAAAACATAAACATCATAAATATTTGGAAATAGAAAGGAAATTTTTTTTTTTTAAAGTTATGTTGTTTGATTTAGATGGTGCTGTGAAGGAGAAGGGCATATCTGTCGGGGTAAAAATTGGAGTTACCGTCATATCTGTTGCGGCGGCCATTACAATTTTGCTTCTGGTGTACAAGTTTGTTAAACTTCGATGTGAGACCAAAGACATTGAAAACATGGCAGCAAACTCACGTAATGGAAGTCAGCATGGGAGTGATTCAGGTAGGATGGCTATATATTTACATAAAAACAAAAATAAGAAATGAAGAATTGAGTTGAACACTCATTGTCTACTGACTCAAATTTACAGTATATTCTTTTTTTGGGAGGGTGAATGTCAAAATACACTGTGCTTTATTGAAAACACTTCAACAGAAATGAGTGGCCAATAGGGAGTAATTTAGAATGTAATGAAGTGGTTGAACTAACATATTTTTACGATATAAAATAAAGTATGACTTATGTTATACAGATGAGATGGAACACTTACGAGACCACGACGACAATAATTTTGTTATGACTGACTTTCCGTATGCTAACATGCCTATAGTCATCCTGAATGGGGATGAAGCTCCCCCAGATTACAAAGACGTAGCCCCGCCAGCTTACGAGGAAGCACTACAGATGCCTAAAGCAACTGAAGAGGCAACATACAGCAACATGGGCACTATAAGCAATCAAAGTGAGGTAAATCTTAGCAGGAACCAAGCAACCAGTCAAAACAGTCTCTCAGGCAACATGGAGTCCACAACAAATCAATCAAACAGCAACATGGAGTCCACAACAAATCAATCAAACAGCAACATGGAGGAGGATTCAAGTCCACCAGATCTGGTCAGCAACACAGAGCAACCAACAAGTCAAACAAATATAGCATCTAACTTGCAACCAAAAGCAAATCATTCCTCATAGCAAGTCATTGTTAGACTAATGTCAGGCATTCATCCGATGAATCTAGTCGGTGTACTTTGACCAATGTGTGATTGTAGCACCATGCAGATATAATATTACTCATAATATTTCTTATGCAAAAAAATTCTTTTTCCGAAGTATTTCATAGTGTTTTATTGTGATAATAATTAGGATGTAGTATTCGTTGAAGGAGTACACAATATGCATGACTGTATAGTCCACAGACTCCCTCATTTCTGGAAAAAAAGTATTAGTGTCTATAATGAACATGTACTCTACTGAATTTCTCTAATTTATTCTCTTGTTCCAGCACTTAATGGGTAGACTTGCTGGTGGCAGCATTCTTTTCCATTCAAGAATACTAAAAATAAATATTATATACATGTAACTGCTCATTTTAAAGGACAAGAATTATTTCAGAAATAATAAAAACATCATTTCTTTACCTCCATGCATTACCATACTATTGTATACAGGAATATTTTCGCCCAGATTTATTTTTGGCCTTTTACACTAACAAACAATTTTGCACCCATTTCAAATTCACCTAGACCCAGTTGTTTTAAAGAGTAAATGCTGTCTTTCATGAATTCACCCCATTTCAAATTTGCCCACTTGTGACAAGGGCGATAAAGGGGGGGGGGGGGGGGGAATACAATACAATTTTCATGTTTACAGTATTTTCCCATATCATTCGAGATCAGAACAAACCTCTTTGGACAACTTCATCTGGTTTTGTCTGTTAGGAGTCAGACTATACACAGATGATTCAATCATTCTACATCACAACTCTATGTTGATATTACAATGTATTCACTACATGAATAACGGTCTTCAAATTCACATATATGCTGAAGTTGGGCTTCATGTTTTCCATGAAGACTATGGTTTTTATAGGCACCTAGTTCCTCATTGTATTAACATTATACAAAAAGAAATTTAGTACATGTTTTAAGACACAAAAAAGGGTATTATGCCATGAGGTCAGTTTATGAATCAAAATGAATCACTTGAAAATTTTTCATATGAAGTTTTGGTATATATACATATATATAAATGTTGTAAATTCTTGTTATTTGCTTGTTTTTAAGTTAATTAGTCTTGATGTAAATTGAGAGCTTATCTAGTGGTGCTTAATTTAATCCTTGTTTATGCTCAATGTAATATTGTACTTCATACAAAATATAAATACCAAAATGGCTGACACTGGTACTTACTAGAAACACAACGTTTTCACAAAGTAGACAATATCATCTGTGGGATGGTGAAACACTTTGTATACACCCACTGGAACTACAGGTGTGGGACATTTTATACAATTATACCTTTTTTATTCCACTAATGTCTTACATATACACCGTTTTATTTCCACCTTTTAATTGTTAAATGTGTGATGTGCATTAGATATCCAATGTATTATTTTGTAATGTTCAACATTTTTTTTTATTATTTTCAGAAAAAAAGATATACATTTGACAGGTTGTACATGACATTGTAGTCGTTAACATTAATTGATGTGGCATTATTTAATTTGTATTTTTGTGTTTTATATGAGATTTTTTTTGAGAATTATTCTTAACCATAAGAACATAAAAGGAATATCTACCTAAAAAAGGTTCATTTTGCATAAAATTTTAATTAGTCCAAATTCTTTTCATTTATTATGACTATAACATAGTGGGGTTTTTTTTCTAAAACTTGTAGAATGTTTATCACAGTTAATGACCACTCTCTTCCTTTTGAGTATAAATCTTTATGATTTCATAAAAATCAAATCTTCCATCAATTATATTTATTAAGATTGCTGCTTTGTTGTTCTTTTACCCTGATTTTCTGCGTGCCTTAGTTTCTACATACATGTATTTTCATATGTTGCTTAGACATTTACCATGTTTCCATTTTATTTTGCTTTTCTGTGTTATTGCTATAACTTGGTGATTGTGATTAATTGTCTTTTGTTTTTGTTTTTTTCCAAACTAAAGTCATAATATTGAATTGATTGTTTGGTGAAACTTAATTATCATATGTACATGTGGATTATTTCCCTTGTTTATAAACGTGGACCCCGGTAGTCTTTCCTAAATTTTAGTACAATAGAGAGTGCTCATAACAATATTGATCTTTCATCCAAGTGTAAAACATTCTTATATATAAATCATCATTTTCATGTTTCTTCACATAGAAATCAATCTTAACATGTTTGAATTATTAACTTTCACAATGATTTGTAGCATTGCTTTGTAAAGTAGACATTTGAACAAAGCAGAGATAAAAGTTACATAATTGTGCACCCTCTTTATTTACATGTAATTGATTTCCAATCAAAATTTTAATCAAAACAATTGCCACAAAATTTGTTCCTTGCACTTTCGAGTTATGAATGACCCAATGCATTTGTTTCTGAAATATCAGAAGTGAAACAAAACTAGACTAAGGCTAGACTAAGTGTTCTGGACCTTGAAAATCTATGTTACAAAAGAACCCATTTAAGTAAGGTCAGAATGCCTTTCCCAAATGTTCAAAGGATGGAGATGAAATAATGTAAGTGTTTTTGCTTTCTAAACCCAGTGGAAACCATCATTGTTTATACATGTACTAATATATAACAAATAGTTTAGATAAAGTTTTTTTTTTTTGAGAGTACATAACCAAAACCCTGTAATTTTCCTTGAAAGGCATTTATTTGCATGCATAGAGAAAAACTGCAATGTTGGTTTAGAAAAATAGTTTTTCTTTTTTAAATTTTAAAATTATTAGAGTTCTTCCACTTAAAAAAGATTTTTTTGGGGGGAAAAAAAGTTATTAAGGTTGGGGTAAATCTCATAAGTTTTGAAAGGAAGTTTGTTGCAGATTATTATGTTGATCTAAAGGTTTTTATCCAATCTGCTCATACTATGTGTTTTGTTCTTCCTTAAATTTGCTTGTAATGAAATTTTAATTCAATCGTTTGTTTGCTTGTTTGTTTGGGGTTTTTTGGGGGGCAGGGGGATTGAAAATACTGATATATCATGAACAAATCAGTAAAGTTTAAATCAGATCTGTTGAAAGGCATTGATGTATCTATCTGTAGGTAGAGATTAAAAAATACAGAAGTTTCATTAGGTTCATTCCTCTATTAAGCAGGTGTCTTTCATTAATTTTTTTGCATTGTATGATATAATGTTTGTTTATTGTGTTATGAACACTTAATTGAAGTTGCTAAATAAAATGTTTGTAAAATCTTATTTTAATCCCTTTTTTGTTTGTGTTCTCTTTGATATGATTAAATATGATGGATTTCATCATTGACAATATCTAAGTAGTCTTTGGGGACCAGGTTTTCCAACAATCTGTTTGAATTTCTTTGAATAATTGTGCTCTTTTATTAGCCAACCTATTTTTAAATTGTTATGAAGCAGAATTTATTCATAAAATTCCATATGAGAAGAAAACTCCTGCTGTGGCTTTCAATTTTACATTTTTTATATATCGATGATTTTTCATTAGTTGACGGTTAGTTACTTTCATTTGAATAATTGACACTATCCCAGTGAACTGTTATAAATGGCACCATAGAGTCTCCCACATGTTTCATATTTGGATGATTTACTAAGTAGATGTTTATAGCAATTTTAGAACAAACTATATGAGAAACGGTATGACATAGGTTCTCTTATTTTTGGTTTCATTTATATATGGTGTATTTTCATAAACTTCGAGTTTCATACTTTTAAGTTACTTTCAGGAGGAAGATTTATTTTGACTTGAAATGATGTAGGGATATTCGGGCATATGAGGAAATAAGCACAAATTAAGACCTTTACAAGAGCGTGTTCTGGGGCCTATATTGGATCATTCTTCATTTCCATCCTCTTTTTGTTCGGTGACCATTTTCACATTTCTCTAGGTCTACCAGCTCATTGCGACCCTAGGGATAGATTCTTGGCCCATCCTGAAAGCATTGCATACCCACCTCAGTCTTTTCCGCTTGTTCTCTAAGGACAGTTTCTGAATATCCTCCTATCCAGTTCTTTGCTAATGATCTGTAGTCAGAAATTTTACCGTATCCTTCTAAGACAGATGGTCTGGAAGTTGCTGTTGATTATTGCATTTGTCAACTTCCATGATTCTGTACCATAAAGGAAGGGAGGCCTTCTAGAATGTTGCTCTTGAAATTCCTAATTTGTCTTGATGTCAATTGTTGGTTACTTCCAGATGTCTCTCAGAGATCAATGATGCGAAAGCTATCCTAGCTTTTTGTATGCTGGCAAGAACGCTTATCTTTAAGTTACAATCTGCAGTGATCTTGCTTCCCAGGAAGATGAACTCTTACACTTCCTCAATACCTGTGTTGTTCAGTGTTATAGGTTCTGCTGTTCTGGTATTGATCCTCATTACCTTTGGTTTTCCTTTTGTTAATGTGCTCAATCTGACTTACCTTTTTCACCAAGTCCTTTGTTTTTGCCTTTACACATATGTTTAGATGTCGTTGGGACACAAGTACCAGGTTGTCTGTAAAGTCAACTATTGAGGTCCAGGTGATATCTTTTTGTGTTTGTGGTTATGTCCTTCATAACTCAGTTTTACACAATGTCTTGTGAAGAGTAGTGGCGAGCAAACAGCCCTGATTCACGCAGGTATGGAAGTAGAATTCTTTTGCAAGACATATACCTTAGTCGACCTGGACAGAGAAATCCACATCATACTTTTGATAGCGATAATTTTGTCCGTTTGCCATATTGATTCAGGATGTTCGAATTCCTTAAAGATGATCGGTTAAATCTTTCAAACGACCTTTTGAAGTCTTTAATTTTACACACATTTTAGAATTCCATTTGTTACTGTGCTCCACAGTTTGTGTGAAGGTAAATCTGCCTTTCCAAAATCCGGCTTGCTCTTTCCGTAGTTTTGCTCCTACTATGCGTACGGTATAACTTGTTTTCTGTTAAATATTACTCTATACTCAGGATTTTGTAGGTGACAGATAACGAAATTCCTCTTCAGTTATTGCAATTTATTAAATCTCAACTCTTCTGTAGCTTAATAACAAGGCCAGTCTTCCAGCAAATCTAATGTAATCCAGATCTTTTCAAGCATCTTGTAGTTAACACTGGTATTTGGTGTTCCTCTACTTTTAGTAGTTGTGTCTTAATCTGATTCACTTCAGGTGTTTTCTTTTTTATGATTTTTTTTTACTTCATTGAGTTTTGAAGGTTCCTAGCTGATTGGTCAGATGTCTTCTGATGCTGTTTTGTTTGCTTCAAATCCGGAACGTCCATATTTACAACATTTTCAAAACTCAGTGTATGTTCCTTCCAGCACTTCGAAATGTTTTCATTTTTAGAGACCTGGTTTCTTTGTTTGTCTTTGACTGAAAGATTCGAAGTTTGAAATTTTCCTGCCAATGTCCTTGTTAATTGATATGTCTTCATCTCTTGCAGCTGCTATTTCTGCTTCTGCTACTTTTTTTATATAATCCCTAGCTCTTGTTTGATCCTGTGCATTTCTTGACCTCTATATCTAATTGTAAAACTCTTTGTTTAGTTTCTCAAGTCCACGCCCCATTCCCCCGACTTTGATATTAAGATTTCGTGCAATAATCTTATGCCATGTATTTTGTGAAATCCTTTCCTCCTTTTTCGTTTTATGTACCAAA